TGTGTTTGGGGTGCTAGCGTTATTGTGGCCGTGTGCTTTTAGTACACCCTCAGATCACCATATAATACCCAGGGAATTGCAAACCTTTTGGGGGGGAAAGTTCTGACTTTCATGGTTGCAGAGAGAAGCTTGCAAGGCCAAGTAGAGACTCAGAAACTAGATGGTGCACTAAGGATCCTTTTACAAAATATAGGTACCCTATGATACAAGGCCCATCATGTTGGAAAGAAATGCCACAGCCTTGCTGACAGTCAGATCTCCTAATCAGTATGTTAAAATGTGATATAAAATAAAGTAGGGTTGTTTTTTTTAACGGAGGACCTTTTTTATGATGTATGTTTTCAGGTAGCCATTCTTGCCTGTAAAGTGCTGACCTCTCTCCTTCCATTTTTCTTGTTCATAGGCGTCTTCCATGTATGCATCTCTTCCATCAAGTGTGCGTAGATCAGTGGTTGATCACAAACAAGAAGTGCCCCATTTGCAGAGTGGACATTGAGGCTCAGCTGCCAAGCGAAAGTTGACACCCTTTTGCCTAAAACCTCTTGCTCTCCTCCTTCACGCTCATCCTTCCTGGTACTGCAGTCAACCAAAGATGGCATGACTTACCTGTGCAGATGTTGGAAGCATTTGAACCTGCTAGAGTGCTGTTTGTCTGCTCTATGGTATACCTAATGCTAAACCTACAGTTCAGTGTATTTATAAAGCTTTTCTTTTGTTTGTTTAGACCGTACAGTTTTCCCTACTCTTAACACATTTTCCTGTACATTTTGCATGGTTCCTTGTATTGCATTTCTTTGCACATGTTATGGGCTTAGTGACCTCTCCAAACTTGCAGGCAAGGTTATCTGCTTTAGAAAATAGAATTGTGTGGTTTTTTTGTTTTGGTTTTTTTTTACATAGAGTCAGGCTTATTCAGAGTATGATTTCACTCAATACTAACCTCAGAGTCCTTAATTTAATCATGTATTTTAGTTCTAAATGTATAAAGATCAAAAAGGATATTATTGTGTTTTTAAGACATTCCTTAATTAGGGGAAAAAGCTGCTGTATACTTGTGTTGGGGAGAGACGCCAAGCACTTCTCCTGCACAAGCCTCCTGAAAGTGAATGGGAGCCTTGTGAGAGCTCTGCAGGCGCTGTTCGTTCCAAGTTGCACCATCCATAATAAATAACTGGGAACATAACCTTCAGATCCTTTGATTTCAAATGGCATAACCCATTATTGGATCATCCTTTTCAGATCAAATGTTCATGTTCTTAAACCTTCAGCACAATGCAGATATATTTGAATGTCAATATTAAAAACATTTAGACTGCTGTCCGATTGTATGTACCATTTTCTTATGTCTAGCAATTTGAATTTCTCTAACGTAATATTTTGCTGCTGTGAAACAGCTCTAATGAACACTAAATATTTGATTTCAACTAGCTGGGTTGTAGATATATGCAGATTGAATAAAATAAGTTTGCAGGAAAACAGGGGGGAAAGACAGGCTGTTTTTATTTGTTTGTTTGCTCCTCAGTCTTAATGCTAAATTCATCTAAAGATCTGCACAAGCTGGTTTTGTAAAAAAATAAAAAAATACAAAAATTGGGGTTGGGGGTTGGGGTAACAGCCACAAAGATTAAACCAAGACTTTGAATTTAACTTCCTAAGGCAAATATCCATGACTTCATAGAACTTTGAAAGGTCCCTTGCCCTGTCATGGGAACTGGGTGGTGTTTTTTTTTTTTTTAATTTAGTTTTACAGTTAATAAAGTTAGCTGAATCCACCTGTCTCCTGTGTTGTTTCTAAGGCTCAATTTGCATAATTTGGGGGGTGGGTTAGGAATCAGACTGTTAATGCTGTTGCTAGCTTTGTACTGACTGCCCTAAGATCAGGCAGCCAACCCAGGTACAAGGGATGAATGACATAATTCCCATTGTGCCTGACCTCAGGCCATGATGGCTGGGCCTGAGGGGAGTTGGAGTCCAGTAACATCCATAAAGACACAGGTTATAAATCTTTTATTATATACAGTAATGTTGGCTGCAAAATTAAGCCCCCGATCCAAATTAGTAAAAAACTAGCCCAAAAGGCTGGGTTTTGAACTTTATTATCCTTGAACAGCACTTCCTACCCACCAATGATGCATGACATGCTACCTCTGAACCTGGAGACTCACATGTCTGTGCCCACTGGTGGGGGACAGAATAGAGAAGTACAAGAAAAGAAAAAAAATGCTACTGGACTAAGGCTAGCCAAAGCATCCCCCCCCGAATCCTGGTTATAGTTTCAATATCACTCTCCAGTTGAGGTGAACAAGGGAGTGCTATTGTGTACATTCATTATGCCTCAATCAAGATATCTTCAAGCTGTTAATTACTGTGGGCATACTGTGCTTTCTTAATCAAGTTCTAATGAGGACTGATTTTTTTCTAGTACAGTATGTTAGGAAGCTGGCAACATATAGCTAATTTTTTTCAAGGCCTATAGTAGCATCACAAAAGGAACACAATGCAATGTAATGAAGAGATGATTCCAGCAAAATTCACTGCAGCTATTTAGGATTCAGAGAGAGAGCACATTATGGATTCTTGAGTGATGCTAAGAACACCTTTTGGGTTTGGTGTGGGTGTTTTTTGAAACTTCTGAATGCAATTCCTGCATTGTTTGAAAGACATGAATAATTCCTTTTTGGAAGGTCTAGATCAGGGGTCAGCAAACTTTTTCAGCAGGGGGCCGGTCCACTGTCCCTCAGACTTTGTGGGGGGCCGGACTGTATTTGGGGGGGGGAATGAATGAATTCCTATGCCCCACAAATAACCCAGAGATGCATTTTAAATCAAAGAACACATTCTACTCATATAAAAACATACTGATTCCTGGACCATCCGCGGGCTGGATTTAGAAGGCGATTGGGCCAGATCTGGCCCCTGGGCCTTAGTTTGCCTGCCCATGGTCTAGAGATTCATATAACTTGGGTTGGGTTTTTTTGCTAAGGGACAGTGATATCCAGGCTTTCCTCACAGACGCATAGAATTGAAAGGGACCCCAAAGGTCATCAACTTCCTGCAATTCAGGAATTACAGCTAAAGAATCCCTGACAGATGGCCATCCAACTGCTCTTTAATAACCTCCAGTTAGTGGACTAGGGGACTAAATTAGTTCCTTAAATGTTACCTGGCACCTCCTTCCCAAAGCTCTTGACTGGCTTAGGGAGGCCTGATACTCCCATAAATTTTACTGCACTCCACTGCCTCCAATGAAGGAAAGTGTACCACCTTTTGAAAAAGTCTGTTCCAGTATCAAATAGCTCTTCATCCTAGAGGGATGTTGCAATCCTCACACTAAAATGATAGACATAAAAGATGAAAGGCTGACATTACTAACCTGTGAGGTCATAATGCGGGGTTGAGGGAGATCAGCTGAAGGTTTTGTCTTTGGGGTGTAAGCCTGAAAGCAGGTCTGGCATGTTGTCCTTCAAGGACCCTTGCCTTTGTCTTCTAGGCTTCCTTACCTGCCACCACCAATATCCTGGGCACCCCTGTCTCCCATGGGTGGGTAAAGGAGCAGTAGAGAAGCTGGTTGCATTTCCTGGCAAATTATTGTCAAAAGTGAGTGTGCAGGAGCAGTTGTGTTTTGAAAGTTACAGCTAGGCATGCAGTAAGAGAATCAAAACACAGAGCTAACTAGCCTGGATCCATCACCATACATTTCAAAGTATAATCACTGAGCTGGAACATAACACTCAATAGTCTGCATTGAATCCCTTTTTAAAAACTTGCTCAAAACTATTTTTTGTATGCAGTAAAAATAATAAGAGTGATAAAATTGCTTTTTGTTTTTGCCTTCTGTGAATATAATTCCTTTCTGTTTAAACAAGTAATCTGACAAAAGATGTCAATCTTTACATGGGCTATTTAAGAATAAAAGCAGAACTGCTGCATGAAGGGAGTAGTTGAGGTTTTCAACTGTATCACAACTTTCTAAATTATTAGAATATCAGATGGTTTGAAACCGTTAGAAGCACAGCTTTTCCTAGCAGATGGCCTTACAAACCAGTTTGCATTTTGTCAGGTAGCTGCACTTGAGAAGTTTCTAACTGCATCCAGAAATAAATTCTGTCATTAGTAGACATGTCTCATTAGAGGAATCTGTTTCATGACCCATTAAAAGTAATCCCACATTGGACTGGACATTCATTCAATATTTTGTACCCCGCTCTTCCTCTGGACCAGAGTGCAGCAAACAGCAGAAAGAAGATAACCATATGTCAGAAGAACGGAAAAATCTCAGAATCAAATAAAATGTAAAAACAGCAATTTTATCCATAGGACCACACCACACCCTAAAATAATGATTCATGGCCCAAATACCAGGTCACACAAAACTATTTTTCTTAAATATCGCTATTGTGGGGCAGACCAAGCATCACTTGCAAGCGAGTAACAGAGGAACCCAGCAGGGCAATTCTCTTGGGTCATTCCAGTGCATAGGTGTCAACTTTCCCCTTTTTAAAAGGGAAATTCCCTTATTCCAAATAGGATGCCTCGCAAGAAAAGGGAAAAGTTGACAGCTATGTTCCAGTGTGCATGAGGTTACTGTAAAGGGTCTGAGATGGGTTGCAGGGCCTCTCCATCAACTCATCTGAGAGACCAGCAACTGTGGGCTTTTCTTCCATTTCAGCTGATCATTAGGAGAACTTTGTAACAAGTGCCCCGGTTTACTTTTCCCCTCCTCCCTCTCAGTCCCCGTTTCTTTTGTGTTTTGTCTTTGAGTCTCGAAAGCTGAAGACAGGGGCTGTCTCATTACTGATCTTTGTAAGCAGCCATTGTTTACTTTCCGCGCAAAGGAAACGGCAGGTTTCGAACCGACGACTTGCAAGAACTGCTAAAGATGCTCCCCTCTTCCTAAGCAGGACTACAACTCCCATGTCGCCTTGCGCGCTTTTAGCGGCCCCTGAGAGAATGTGTCTCCTCTCACACTTCTCGGGCGTCGGAGCCCGCAGCTGAAGGCCGCAGTCGCCTTGGCAACACAAGCATAAGGGGCGGGCGCAAGAGAGTGGCAGCCAATTGTGCGAGGCGGGCTCGACGCGAAGAGCCAATGGCGACGCCGCTAGGATCCCCTCAGAAGGGCGAGGCGGCGGCGGCGGCCTTGAAAAAGCGCGAGGAGCCGGCTGTGCTGGCCATGGCGGCGCAGCTACGAAGGGGTCTGTTGAGTCGTGGCCTGTGAAACTCCCCGCCACTGGCTTAGTGGCAACGTGTGACGAACCGGCTTTCCTCCTCCTTGGGCTTGTGCTCCACTCGTGCGCGGCTCCAGCTGCACGTGTGCATGAGGTCCGTGACGCGTATCTTGGTCCGTGGGTCGCTTGGGTGCTCCGAGACTGACCCGGGAGGGGGGTTCTTGTTGCCCCCCCCCACGGCCAGGTTTGGGGTCTATTGGGAAAGCTTCGTTGGGGTTTAAAGGCCGGAGCGAGGGGTGGTTCCGGCGCTTGTGCAGAGTGCCGCCCCTGGCCGCCTCCCCTGCTGGGCCAAAAAGCTGGCCTCGGCCTGACTGCCGTTTTTGTGCCTGCGGAACGCGCTGCCCCTTGAAGAGCGACTGCGCTGGTCACGTATTGTTGTTGGGTGTAGAGAAATTTCCGTTTGACAGACTTTCGCAGAAGGTCGAGTTTCCCTCTAGGACTGGCTCCACTTTCTCTGGGCCCGCTAGGGGCATTTTCGTTGTAAACCCCTGGGGCCTTCTGTAATATCTAGCTGCTTATAAATGATTCCAAGGGGGTGAATATGGTGCTCTGCTGCAAACTCTTTCTCAAAACAGAGGCATTAAAACTAGAGGACCCAGCATAGTCACGCTCATAAATTTAAGTGGGTTTACTCTGAGTAAAACTTGGTTTCCACTGTTCTCTCCACCCCTCCTTCTTCTTTGGAGATCCCTCATAGCCAAGTAAGATTGTCTTCCATGAACACAGTTTTAACAGTGAGACCGTAAGTGACTGTAGAGGCCAATTCTGGATCCACACATCCTTCCACGGGGGGTGGGGGGGGCATAGGTTTCCGGGCAGGAGTTGATCACAGTGAGGGTTTGCCTTCTTCTGAGCTTGTTTCTCCCTTTCATCCAGAGTTCTAGTCCATGACACCTTTGATAATGGCTGTTCTCCAACTGAAGCGCTCTCAGGCCAGTGTTTCTCAATCACCTGTGCTTATTCTGCATTTTTTTAAAGATTTGCCTTGAGAGAATCTTTAATGCTCTTTTGTTGACTACCAGCATTACACTTTCCATTTCTAAGTTTGGAATAGAGTAGTTGCTTTGGAAGGCAATAATCAGGCATCTGAACAACATGACTAATCCAAAGAAGTTGATGTTGAAGAATCATTGCTTCAACACTGATGATCTTTGCTTCTTCCAGTACACTGCCATTAGTTCATCTGTTTTCCCAAGTGAAGTGTTCAGACACCACTTATAAACTCTTTCAAGGAGTTGGAGATGGCATTTTTAAGTGGTCCATGTTTCACAAGTGTACAGTAAAGTTGGTAGTACAATAGCTTTGTAAACAAGCATTTTGCTTTCCCTGCAAATGTCCCGGTTCTCGTACACTCTGCACTTCAATTGGGAGAAAGCTGCACTCACAGAGCTCAGGCAATGCTGTATTTTGGCATCAGTGTCAGCCCTTGTGGAAAGATAACTGCCCAGGTAGGAAAAGTGATCAACACTTTCCAATGTTACAGCATTGAGTTGGATTTGTGGTGCTGCAGAGGGGTTATATTTTGTACTTGTTGGTGCAGCACTTTGGTTTTTTGGATGTTGAGCCATAGGCCAAGCTTTTCATAAGCTTCTGTGAAGATATTTAGGATGGCTTGGAGGTCATCCTCTGAGTGTGCACACACTACATTGTCATCATACTGAAGCTCTAAGATGGACTTCCGGGTTAGCGCCATCGGACTTCCGGGTTAGCGCCATCGCCTAATGGCGGATTCCCTCCAAGCTCCGGAGGGAATCAGCTCAGCAGGGGTCGGGTCCTGCCGCGCCAGCGACGCGGGGACCCTTAAAAACCACGGGCGCGGAAGCCTGTGGATGTGGTGACTCGGTGGGCACCCAACCCGTGAAGGAGCCTTTTTAAAGGCTACGGAACGGGGGACGGGGAGTGGTGCGGTGCTGAGAGTCTTCTGATTCCCCTGCTGAGTGAAGCCGCATGCCATGGATGGAGAGCGCTGACTTCTTCCTTTGAACATTTGGATCAAAAGCAACAACCCGTGAGTAATACGGAAATTGGACTTAAAAAGGGAATTTTTTGGGGGGATTTGGCACGATCGGGGAAGGCGCAAAGAGGAAGTCCATCTCCCCGACTTGTAAACAACTTAAAGCAAGGACTAGATAACTAAGGTTGAGAGAATATCCTTTTCCTTATTGGATAAAAGTTATTAATTTTACGATTGGAAAGTACAAGTAATTTTGCTGGAGGATAAGAGTTGATTTTGAGAGTTGAAGTGCAACCCCCCGGGAACCGGGAGTGATTCGCGAGAGAGCCTGGCGAAGAGATACAAAGATTTTGACAGCTGTCAAAGTAGCTGTCAAAGTTGGGGAATAAAAAAAGAACTTTGTTTCTGGTGCCTTTGCTGGCTAGATTTGTTACAATTTGAATATAAATTGTTGAAAACAAGGAAGAACAAGTTATTTTTACTTTTGGGTTGAAACTGGAAGGATACTAAGTAACCATAATCCCTCTAGAGGGGGTTTTGGGACATTACAAGTATGGCTGTAAGTGGAAAAATACTCATTGAGCTGAACAGGACTTTTTATCTCCTGGGAAAGCTTCAAGAACAAAGCAATATTTTGACTACAAGGGCCTCTACACTGAATGAGACAGTAAATAAATTTACTGAAATTGGAAGGGACTTGACTCAAGTTTTTGTTCCTGAACAAAAAACCCTTGTAGCGGAATCAAAAGTTTTTGCAGCTGAGCAGGAAGAGAAACCTGAGAAATGTGATAAAAGGGAACAAGAGATACATGATGATCTGGAAGGGAATGAAGGAGGAGTTACAACGCCGCAGAAGATCAAGGAAGGCCAGAGGCCTGTTAGGAAGGACATAAAGAAAAACAAGAATTGGATGATGAAAATTTGGTTTGAATTGGTCAAGGAAGATTGGAGAGATCTCCTGATGTGGAGATCTGAAGACCTATGGATTACAAATCTGATCAAGATGGAAGTTGGAGCATTTGGGACATTCAGACTCAAAAGGATTAAGAAACAAGATTTGAGCTCTACTTTTAGATATAGAGGTCTGGATGGAAGAAAAATGGACATTTTCGAGATAGAGCTTCTCCGAGATTTGGTGCTTGGTATAAAGGACTATCAAAAAAACCGGCAAAGAGGAACTGAGAGAGAATTAAGGGCCTCGGATGTGAGGTCTCCAGGCTGATAGCAGATAGACTGATGGACATTGGGGATCGAAACTGGGAAAAGGGGGTTGGAGCTTGGGAATCCAAAGGGTGTACAATTATATTTTGAATTTTTCTTATTTCTTTATTTTGTTTTACTATGAGTATAAAAAAGGGGAATTCGTGGAAGGGAATTGGGGTCAACCTTAGAAAAAGATTTTAATGTATAAAGACTGTGGATTATAAGATGAAAGTGGCTATTTAAAATGAACTAAATTGAATAATGAGCTAAATACAATAAGGTCAAAATTAGGGATAAGAACTTGTTGAACTAAATAAATGGAAATGGAATACAAGAAGGGGAGGTGTGGGGAAGTCTTGGAAGGATGTTATTGAAAATAAGGTTTAAATGGTAAATGTTTTCTTTTTTCTTTCTTTTTTTTCTGGATTTTTTGAAAATTTCAATAAATATGTTATTAAAAAAAGAAGAAGCTCTAAGATGGAAGTTACGGTAACTTTACTCTTTGCTTTCAGCCTACTCAGATTAAAGAGCTTTCCATCTGTTTGATATATGATTTCTACTCTGGTGGGGAGTTTCCCTTTGACCATGTGTAGGATCATGGCAATGAAAATAATGAATAGAGTTGGGGCGATAACACAACCCTGTTTAACACCTGATCCCACTATGAATGGTTCACTTTGAGAACCATTGTTATCTGAGATTGTTGCTGTCATAGTGTCATGCAGGAGCAGAACGATGTTCACAAATTTATCTGGGCATCCAATTTTCAGAAGGACAGTCCACGGGGCATTACGATTTACAGTGTCAAAGCCCTTAGTAAGGTCAATAAATGCCATAAACGGGTTGGTTTTGCTCTCTGCATTTTTCTTGAAGCTGTCAAGCAGTGAAAATCATGTCCACTGTCCCCCAGAAGGTCTAAAAACATTTTGGGATTCAGGAAGGGTAGCCTTGGATATTGTTAAGAGACGGTTTGCTAAGATCCTTGCAAGAATTTTGCTGGCTGCAGCTAATAAAGAGATACCTCTATAGTTTCTGCAATCTGTTCTGTTGTCTTTTTTTAAAGAGATTGATAATTTTGGCATCCCTAAAGTCTGCTAGGATCTCCTTTCTCTCCCAGATTTTTCCAATGAGCTTGTGAAGTTGTGTAAGTTTGATTCCACCCACTTTGAAGACTTCAGCAGGTATCCCATTAGGTCTTCTGGCTTTGTTGTTTTTCATTTGGTTAATAGCTGTACACAACTCTCCCAGATTTGGAGGTACTGCAAGCTCATCTTTAATTTGTTTTTGTGGGATTTGAGAAAGGATGGGGGAGTTGCGGTTAAGAAGATGCTGGTAACGTTCTTTCCAGTGCAGTGCAATAGCTTCATCTTTTAGAAGTGTGGTACCGTCTGTTGAGCATAGGGGGCATATGCCATGATTTATTGGCCCATAGATGGTCTTTGTGGCTTTAAAGAAATTCTGTGCATCATGAGTGCCGGCTAAGTGCTGGATCTCTTGAGCTTTTTTTATCCACCAGGTGTTCTTTAATTCTCTGGTTCTTCTTTGAACCTCAGCCTTAGCGTTGGCATAGGGTTTTTTTCTTAGTGGAACAGTTTCTATCTCTTTTCCAAGTCCAGGTGGGATGGATTGATGCCCCTTGTGGACATAGAGCAGGTAAGAAAAATGCACTAACCCCCTGACAGAACAGCTGTGTGTGTGTGTTGCACACCAGTTATCTTTGTCATGAATTTATTATTAACTGTCTTTGTGTCTCTGTGTCCAGTCGTTATGCTGTTATGGCAGCACCAGCCTTTCCTGTGCCAGTTTCGCTGTGATTCCATTAGACAGGGTTGGACTCGGTGACCTTGGGGACGCCTTCAAACTGTACAATTCTCTTATTCCATCCCAGGGGTGGATAAAACATAAGCTTTACCAGCTGGTACAGAATTCATTCCTATTGGCATCAAAACTCTAAGGCTATACATATATGCTTGGAAGTGTGGGGGAAATGACAATCAAAATCCATGTGTGTGCGTACAGTAACCCCACAATTTACACACATTTAACTTCAGCTTTGTGTGTGTGACACTTAAATACAGTAATAATATAAACAGGAGGAAAGGGGGTGGGGTTCTGTGAAAAAATGACTTTGGCAATCCCACCCACCATTGAACCGAATGGGTTTTGACTATATGTGATTTTGGCTTTAGGTGTGGCCCCTGGAGCTTAACCAGCATGTAAGGTATTTGCTTATTTGTCATCTTGTCTGATGTCCCACCTTTTCCATGGCTGAACTTGCAAAAATCTTCACAGTATTTTGGTAGTGTTGCTTAAGCAGTAAGACATGCAGTGCCTACAACTACATAATTTAGCTTGCAGAGTCTCGATTGTGGATGACCTTGCAGAATCTTCTGGGCCTTATTTAGAATCTAGTATGCTGGCCCACATAGTGGCTAAGTCTTAATCAGTGGGTTCTGGGAGCGGGCACTGCCCCTTGAAGAAGTAATGCCTGGTCCTCACTTTCTAGATGCTAAACCACCTGAAGAAAGACATGATAGTAGATCATGGCAAGACCCGCAGCCTGTTGAATGGTCCACGGGGACCTCTGCAAGAAATCAGCAACAGGATGGTGACCCAAAGACCCAAAGGATTCAAGGTAACTTTAGCCCTTTAGCTGGGGGGGGGGGTTGCCTCTTGCATTTCTGCAGTTGCCTTCCCTCATCAGGAAACAGAGAATTCCTAAGTAGCAGCTGAAGGCCTTATCAGGTTATCAGTGGTTTTTGGAAGTGAGAACTTTTAATTAACATAAGAAGAAGTTTTATTTATATCCCGCCCTTCCCACCCAGAACTGGGCTCAGGGCGGCTAACATCAAAATATATAATACATTAAGACATAAAATTCAGCAATCAACTGAAATACAGCTTAAAATCGGATTAAAATCAAAATAAGATCAGATGACTACCTGCAAACTATAGCTATAACTATAGGGGTTGGGAACCTTAAGTACTCACCAGGCTCAGCTATTTGTATGAGCCGGTGAAAAGAGTTAGGCCGCTTATATGCAGGGTCTTGTAGAAGGAGAGGGTCAGACCACTGGCAGAGGAAGAGGCGTGTGGGAGGAGCGCATCGCCCACAGCAGCGCGATCCTGGCGGTGTGCCATTGCAGCTGCCCCCCCGCCCACGCTGGGTGCCACACCCCTACGGGCAGCGCACAACACCCCCGGGACATGCGCCAGCCCCGCCCCCACTGCTCTCCACCCCCTGGTACCGGAGCATGAAGCTTCGCCACTGGGTCAGACTGAGCACCAACTAAAGGCCTGGTGGAACAGTTCCGTCTTGAAGGCCATGCGGAAAGATGTCAAGTCCCGCAGGGCCCTGGTCTCTTGCGACAGAGCGTTCCACCAGACTGGGGCCAGGACCGAAAAGGAGAGGCAGCCCCGTAGGTATAAGGTCCCAGGTCGTATAGGGCTTTAAAGGTTAGGACCAGCACCTTAAACCTGACCCTGTACTCCACCAGGAGCCAGTGCAGCTGATATAGCACTGGTTGGATGTGGTCCCATGGCGAAGACCACATATTGGTGGCTTACTGCTTTTATTTTGTTTTGTCTAGTGGGGAGTGGCTGGTGCTGCCTGGGGATTTTTAGAAGCCAAAAAAAATTCTCTTCCTGACTCTTTCCACCACAGCACTGGCTACCTCTCTAAATGTTCTCCCCTTTTCTGCTTCCTACCTCCACAAGTTACAGTGTAGTTTACAGATGTTTGGTAAAGAGGCCTGTTAATTAATTAATTCATTGTCTTCAGTACAACAAATTCAGTGTCTGATACCCAAACATTTCCCCATGTTCTCACGGCCAACTGTGCTCCTACAATTCATCTAACTTGGCTCTCCCAACTCAATTAATAATTACTATTTTTGACAAGCATGTTTGGACCAAAGTGGAGGAGGATTAGCCGGCTCTGCTGGTGCTGCTGGAATCTGCTTGGTCCTAGTTTAATCCTTCGACCTTTTCAGGCAGGTGTCTGGTGCTACAGGTGAATGGATTCGGTTGCTTTCTTCATCCCTAAAGTTTCAAGTACCTTGGTTTCACCAGCATTGCTTTGCAGGACAGGGGATGGGGGAGGCTTATTCTTCCTAAGTGAGATTCAAGTGATATCACTTCTCTTGGAATGTGGCTGTTGCAAGTGATATGCAAGTTTTTCTATCCTCATTTGGTGAAAGACACATGTGGGTTCAGTCTCCTCTTGAGACATGATGTTGACCTGTGTGCCCTTGAGCAAGTATAACCCACCTTGCCAGATAATTATTTGGAAGAAAGCAAAGGCCAGGTGCTTGGCAAATGTTGAGTGAGTGCAAGCGTGCAAGGGACCTTGAGCAGGAAGTGATCAGAACACCCTCTCCCATCCTCTCTTTCTGTAGCTTGTTACAAGAGCATTGATGGGCCTCCAAAATCTCCCATTTGGTGTTGTGGCTTCACTTCTGCTATCTTTTTTTCTTAGATGTTATTTATTAAACTTGCATCCTGCCTTTCTACCAAATGGTCACCAGGTGGTTAACAATATTAATACAAAAAGGGGCAGGGTGAAATATCAAGAAAATCAAACAAAGTACCAGTTAAAAATAATTTCAACTGGGGTGTGTCTGGGGGGGGGGTTGCTTCTTAAACTAGGATCCCAATTCATTCTCTATGGAAGTGGAATTGTGCCAAGCCTTTTCTGAAATGCTGCGGGGCAATATAGAAGATATTGATGCTGGAGACAGGGAGGACCCCCAGATGTGCAGTGACTACGTGAAGGATATCTACCAGTACCTGAGGCAACTGGAGGTATTTATGCCTGGCAGCGAAACCTCCTCCTACCCACATGGTGTGTGGTGTTTGGGCTGCTGCTGTTGGATGGGGAATCCTGGCAGCTATCATGGCGTTTCTGAGGTACAGAACTCATGGAAGCTTGTAGAAGCTAACAGAAATGTTCTAGCACTTTCCAGAGTGTCTGGAAGATTTCCAAGGGAACAGACATGCAGCTGGAATGAGCTCGTTGTGTTTCAAGGTCTGCCTATGAATGCAGTCCAACAGGATCTCATGTTACTCTTGCTTTCACTCTCTCTGCTGTTCCTTCACACTCTTTCTGAATTTATTTTTACTTGCTTAGTGTATATAGTACGTTTAAGTTTTTTACTGTTATATTTTGCTGCAACTGGATTGTAAAGAGATTGCCATTCCAGGGATCTGGTATTGAACTGTCAAGCTTATTTTTGCCTTAGTAAATTTTTACTAATGAATCTACTGGATCATGAGTTCTTCCTAGAACCACACACCTACTTGGAGCTGCCATTCTGCTAACAACTAAGCAGGCATGGGACCTTGGGACCTTAACCCTGACAAATGCATTTTGGGTCTGACTCCCTTCTAGCTGCTCCCCACTTGCCAGCTATCTAAACATGGGACAAGCCTCTGAACTAGTTGACCCTTTCCAACAGGTCCAGCAGCGTGTCTTTCCCTTCTACCTTGATGGCACAGAGATCAGTGGGCGGATGCGGGCCATTCTTGTTGACTGGCTGATCCAGCTCCATGCAAGGTTCCAACTTATGCAGGACACTCTCTACATGTGTGTGGCCATCATAGATCGCTTCTTGCAAGTAAGCTTGGCGTTTATAGCACATATGAAGCTTGAACGGTGGAGCTGTGCATGAAACTCCTGTTTTGAGCTCTGAGATGCTGCTTTTGCTGGGTGGGGGCTTGGATGGATGTGGGGTTCCTAGTTGCATAGACTGAGCTGTGCAGTAGCCTTCTGCAGTGTGGTGTTTTCCAGATGTTTTGGACCACAACTCCTATTGGGGCACGGAAGGCATCATCACACTGGGGGTGGGAGATTGATACTGAAACAGTGGACACTGTCAACTAGGGAGGTTTAAGCATGGGCTTAATCTCTCACACTGGGATGTAAAAGCAGTGACTGGAATCTTCCCCATGCTTTGAATTAAGGTATACTGGGAATTTGTTGTTGGCACTCACTACATTCCAGTCAGCCAAACTTTGGTTCGCTTATGCTTATATCCCCCTCCCCACTTCCTACATGAGACCCAAAGTGTCACGCGTGTGCATGACGACCCTCTAGGCACTCATCAGACTCAAACCAACTTAGCTTCAACTAGGTGGTGGACATACTCTGGAAGCATCCCCATTTTAAAACGTGAGGTGTTTGCTTCTCCAAAGTGCTCCTAGGAGTTGTATCTCTGGGAAGCTGTAGGTAGCAGAACACAGCCCTCTGAGACCATGGTGCAGCTGATTTTGCAGAGGGCAGGGGGGCCTCCGTCTATCTTGATTCCAAAACACCATCACACTTGAAACCCAAACTATTGAGAACTATAAAGAAGGCCCAATTAAGAAACCTCCTTGTCAGTTCCTGAGAGCTGTTCTTGTGCAAAAGTGAGGAGCAAGGCAGTGTCTCAATATCTCAACATTTATGTCTCAACCAGTATTGTGTGTGTCAAACTAGGCTCAGCCTGTCTCCCGCAAGGAACTGCAGTTGGTTGGTGTTACTGCGATGCTTCTGGCTGCAAAATATGAAGAGATCTATCCACCAAGTATTTTAGATTTTGTCTACATGACTGACCGAGCATACACACCGACTCAAATCCGGGCAACGGAGCAGAAGATCCTTAAGGAGCTTAACTTTGCCTTAGGAAGACCGCTACCACTCCACTTCCTGAGGCGGATAGCCAAAGTTTCTGATGTAGGTCCATCTGCCAGTACCTTGAGCTTGGGTAGCCTGGTAATAGGATGTTGAGTATGGTTGAGGGGCGGGGGTGCTTACCAGCCTCTTCTGAAAGGAGTGTCCATACACCACCTGTGTGTTGAAGTGAGTGGGAAGGAGGTCTGGGACCTGGCATCACTTGATTTGGGCACTACATTCAGTATCTGGTAATGAGGGGAGGGGGCATGTGCAAGCCAAATAGTCTCCTGGTGCTGTGTGTAGATTCCAGAGGTGAATGTACTAATTTGTGCAAGCCCTCTATTCCCATGAAAGCCATTTTTTGTTTCTGCCCTTTAAGTACACAAATGTGCAAGGGGCTGGAGAGGAACATGGGTTCAAGGCCTCTGGCAAGTAGCTAAATGAGCATAGACAGAGTAGCTATTAAGGGAGAGGCTAGATGAAAGAAAAGGGACCCACAGGATGAATAAGAGCTGACTGTACTTGTGCCTATGATGATCCAGGACTGAAGCATGGGCTCTTAGAGAAGGCAAGTGTACCTAGTCATGAAGAGGGGCACAGCAGCTAGGGAGAGAAGAACTCTCCTTTGACTTAAGCCGCCACCCCTGCCAACCTGGCGTCCTCCAGATATTTTGGACCACAACTGATGGGAATTGTAGTCCAGAACCTTGGAGAGTATCAGGGTTGTGGGGGTTGCTCTAGATCTAGTTACAAGTTCCAGTAAAATCAAAGATACACGAGCTTCTCTGGGTAGGCATTAAAACTAGAGGCCGGCTGCATTCAAGCAAGTGCTCTTCCTGTTTTGCCAGGCATCTGCTGAATCGTACCTGCTAGCAAAGTACCTGATGGAGCTGACCCTTTTGGACTACAATATGGTGCATTATAATCCTTCAGAGGTTGCAGCTGCAGCAATTTGCCTGTCTCGGAAGGTCTTCTCAGAAGGCCAGTGGGTGAGTCTTGGTTGAGTGAAAGTGGTATGGAAGGGGGCAAAGTCCACATCCTCCTCTCAAGTAACTGGACTAGAGGCCCCTGCGGAGCGCCTGTGAAGAGAATACCTGGCATTCCTTGCCTCCAGGCACTGACCCGGACCTTCTTAGCATGAGCAAGGTGCTGGCCACAGGTGCTTTCAGGCCCTACCGGCATCATAACCTAGTCAGAAACCGATTCGCTCTAAGATGCTTTTAAAGCAGTCCTGCAAACCTACAGACAAGTTACTGACTCACAAATGTTTGAGCAAGTCTGCTTGTGAGGTCCACTGACAGCTCAAAAAGATTTGCTGGGTCCTGCCTAGCAACTACGGGTGGCCCTGGCAGGTGGGGGTTTACAGTGCTCTTGGGACAGGCTTTGACAGCCGCCGCCTCTCCTTTGTAGAACCCCAAGCTGTGCTATTATACTGGATATGAAGAGGAGGGTCTTACCCCTGTTATGGAGCACATGGCCAAGAATGTTGTCAGAGTCAACAGGAATCTAACAAAAAACCTTGTAAGTATCTGCTCCTATTTTAGCAGCCTTGGCTGCTATTAGGCTTAATGTTCCTGTTATAGGCAACTACTGTGGGGCATGGGTGGGTGTGTTCACCCCAGGAAAGAGAACAGGGCAAGAGGGAGGGAGCCTGGAATGGAAACTGCCGCTCTCTTAAAATAAGGCAAGTCCAGATGCTTTGAGATCTGGGTGCTGGCTCTATTTTCCTTTAATATTGGGGGTTAGAACCCCTCTACCACTGCTGCCACCCCACCATCTGTGATCATGGGGGGACAGCTGAAGTCCCAAGGAGCTGCTTTATATATTTAGACCAAATTAGCCCACCTAGTTCATTATTGTCTACACTGACTGGCAGCAGCTCTCTGGAAAAGCTGTTATGGTTTGAACCTGGTACTAAACCAGGTGCTCTAGCATTGAATTGTGCTCCTTACCCCAAAGGGGGTGAGGAGATCACTTTGTCCACTTGCTTCTGGTGAGCAGGCTGACTGTTCTGCATGCTCACAAGAGGAATATAGAAACCAAGGGCAAAAAATTGCACACACCCTACTCCTGGGTATTGGTGTGCTTCCTTTGCTGGAAGGCCCTTTTAGCTTGAAACATCTGACACTCGAGCCTGTATAGTCTGAATCTTACTGTTCTTTCCTTTTCTGATTGCCTCTTTTTGATAACACAAGCAAAGGAGCACTTGCATCAGTCTCTTACTGCACCAAGCTGTTGGCCTCCAGATGTTTTAGGCTAAAGCTCCAATGAGCCCAAGCCAACACACCTGGAGCGCATCATGTTTGCAAAGGCTGCCTTTCTGGGTGCTCTGTTTTGGGATGCTGGAATCAGATGAGCACAAACCTTTTCCCTTAGGCCAAAGAAAGTAGAGCAACAGGGTGCTGGGAGATCTTGGTTTCTTTGCCATCAAAATTAAAAGTAAAAGCAATAGATGTTGAGAGAATTTGACATTCTCCTACAGGTAGTCAAGTGTAAGTGATGACTTTCTCAGGAACAAAACCAAGAGCTTAATTCCTGCAGCAAGGTAAACACATTCTCTGCAACCTAACCTTCTCCCGCCTCACACCTCTGACAGGCTGTCAAGAACAAATATTCTAGCAGCAAATTCCTGAGGATCAGCACTATCCCTCAGCTGAACTCCAGCAGCATTAAAGACTTTGCAGCGCCTTTGCTGGGTGAAGCCAGGCAGCTGATGTGAGCACTGCCCAATCATTACATGGAAGAAAATATGCCGTTTTTGGATGTGGCCTTCTGGAGGTCTTTTTAAGGTGAATGCTTTAGAGTTGCTCTTAAACAAATATTCCATATTCTTGTACATAATAAAGATATTGTAAAAAAAAATATGTCCTTTTACAAAAACGAAAAGCAGGAGTCATAATGGCATTACCAAGGCAGAGCAACACTTTGCTAGCCTGGCAGTCTTGCAAGTCCATCCATTCTTTCTAGCTGTCCTTCTTACTGTGCTGCTTGGGCTTCCCAGGGTAAGTGAAAGCCCGAGAGGGCCAGGAGGCAGCTTCCTTTCTTGTTTCTGCTCCACAGCATTTCAATGCCTTGAAAATGTTGCACATCTCCTTATGCACAGAAGCCAGAAGTGGTCCCCTCACTGCAGTGTGTTTTCTTGGCCAACAATGATTTGCTGTTCTTGGCCAGACACTGATTAAGACTTGAGGGTGAAGCAACCTTCTGCTGCCCCCACCCCCAAATGAAAATGATGCACTGAGCCAGAAACAGGCCAAGAGAAAATGTTTTTGGTCATTTTCAGCATTTTTTGTAACCAAATTTAAACATCTGGAATAAATGACAAGTGAAGCAATTCTGCTTTTCATTCCACCTTCACACCTTGTTACAATTTGCCTTCTATACAGTTTAGGAGATGTGAAACTGACGGTGTTAAAATACCTGTAAGTTACCGCTGGTTTTGTGTTTGTGCATCAGTAAGAATTCCACAGTACCTTACTAAAGGATAGTATTTGAAATATTTTGCTTCTTGAAAATGAGAAGCTCTGGGCAAAGCCTTAGCTTTACTCTACCATTTACAAATAAGTTTAAGCAGCCTTTACTGCTGAGGCTGGAGGCTGGTTAAGCCATCATTTTCAATCTTGTCAAACCCATGGCCTGAAATCCTGGTGTTTTTTTTGGGGGGGGGGAAGGATTGGTCCATGTGTGTGCAGGTTTAGGTAAAATGGGACAATTAGAGATTAACAAAGCCTCACGAACAAGGTGCCCAATCACTCCTAGTCCTCCTGCCCCTGGTGTCTGAATACAGCCTGAGCCTTGATTGTAGGATGCTGTGGGAAGGGGATAGACATGTGGGGGGGGGGTTTGCTGTTCTTTCTCTGTAAGCTTGTTGGTACCATCCTTAGTATTTCTGACTGTAGCATTTAAATCTTGTATTGTGGCAGAGTGTGTTGAACTTCTGGTGGTAGCAGCTACCTTTAAAAGTTTAGCGTTTCTGGAAGCCACTTGAAAACACTTCTGTCTTCCTGCTCCAGTGCTTTGCTGCAGCTAGATTTGAGATTACGTGCTTCTGAGCTCCATTCTTCTACTACATTTGACAGAGCAGAGGTCCTATGACACAGAACTTCCTGATGTTGCTTAGATTTGTTCTGGAGCAGAAGCAGCTAAATATGCATGAAAGCAGCATGAATGTTTTTATTCTCAAGGCATCTGTCATGGTGGAAGGACCTAATGCTGTACAAAGAGAAGGGTGGCTGGAGCTGGCCCCATCTGCAGATCCCTCAGGACAAGGCAAGGTTGGTGCAGAGTCTGGCAGGCTCTTGGCCACGGAGGATGGGCCAGCAGCCATAAGATGCAGAGCAAGCGGAACCCGCCACATCCTACCAACCACCTTGATGAGACCTCCAGGGATTGAATGTGTCTTGGTCCCCCTGCGTACAAAGCAGATACTCTGCCACTAGGGCTGCGGTCCCTTTCTCGGAACACCTTTTATGCTTCAGCTGCAATGTGTACTGTTAAGCAGTACTTTCCACTAACAAGAGCATAACTCCCACTTGCGATAAAAGCCCCCCACACTGCTGCGGTAGTTCCTATGTTTTTATTGATGATGGTTGAGAAGAGAATGGATAAATTAACATGCATTGGGTAAGCAACAGCTTTTGTGGCTGATGGGAAAGGCAGCTGGGCTTAATCAAGGTTTTGTAACACTGACTTTATCCTTAAAGAATAGTGCATAGGTAGAAGTACCCGGCCCCAAAATGCTAACTGAGCTACCTTTATCATTAAGTGCAGTGGGTTACTGCTGTGTACATTCACACAGGTTTGCCTGTTATTTGATTTTTTAAAATGTATATTTTGTAAGTTCTATTCATTAAATGCACAAAGCTTCCTTGGGAAGGTTACCCCCCCCCAACCCAAACAGATGCATCAATAATAAAAACCAACATGGGCCAGCCACATTAACAAGTCAACATAAACGCAAACCATTTACAGCATACAAGGCTGCCTTTCTTTGGTCGCAGTGCCCTTGCAGAATCATTGTAGCTCCCAAGTAAACCTGGTCAAGCTTTCTGTGAGGCCTTTTAAAATACATGCTTGGGGGAAGAGAATGACAAGAGTCCAAGAAGAAATAGAATCCTACTATTCTAAGGCAGGTAGCAGCATAACTTATTACTGTGATCCTCCGCAATGTCATCAACAGAGGAAATGTGCATAATAATGCCATTATTTTGTTACATAATTTAGAAGAAAGTCACCAGAGCAACTAAAGGCACTTGTAAAAAGTGAGTATGTAACTCTTCCAAAGTCCTCACAGAGCACCTTGCTATTTTCAGGCATTTTTTAAAAAAAGAATGGAATTTAAACACACTCTTCTTCCTTCATGAGAAAAAAGCATTCAATAAAATAAATAATTCCTTGGTTTGGTATCGTGGGCAGCTGACACATCGGCTTTGGCTTTTTGGAGAGTAAACATGGGGACTTCCCCCTCTTCCATCTTTTGCCTTTCATTTCACTGATGGAGCGACTGCTGTCTGTTATCAACGCTGCACAGAACTGTAGCTTTACAAGGAGACCACAGCAGCTGGAAAAGCACAACCGGCAGCACCTTTACGGTCGCAAGGGCCTCTTGAGGGGGCTGCAGGATTATACTTTGGTCACATAATTGTTTGGGAAGAGTCCTTTTTTCCCTCTTAACCTGCCTGTCCACCAGCCTGAGGGATCTGGAAAAGAAAGGGAGTGAGTTTAGAAGCAAATCTGTGGGTTGTCCCAACGTACGCTTCTCCAAACTTGCTGCTGTGGAAATGTCTACGTCAGGAGTGACTTGGTTTAAAAGAAAACTAGGGGTGGGAGCAAAATGCTGCCACTAACCTTTGTGAGAATGAACTTATCAGATAAATAAAACTGGGAGATGGTAAAACAGAGTGGCCATATTTGCACAAACTGCTAAGCCAGGTGTGGGGAACCTTTGACCCTCCAGGTGTTGCTAAACTATAACTCCTACCAGCTGCAGCAAGTATGGCCAATGGTTATGGATAATGGGAGTTGTAGTTCAGCAACATCTGGAGGGCCAAAGGTTCCCCACCCTTGCACTGTGCATGTGAATGAGTCTGTAGAGAGCCAGTGTGGTGTAGTGGTTAAGAGCGGTAGACTCGTAATCTGGGGAACCGGGTTCGCGTCTCCGCTCCTCCACATACAGCGGCTGGGTGACCTTGGGCCAGTCATACTTCTTTGAAGTCTCTCAGCCCCACTCACCTCACAGAGTGTTTGTTGTGGGGGAGGAAGGGAAAGGAGAATGTTAGCCGCTTTGAGACTCCTTCAGGTAGTGATAAAGCGGGATAGCAAATCCAAATCCAAACTCTTCTTCTTCCTGGTCTCTTTCCTTCTCCCACAGAGCCAAGAAAGAGTTTGAAAGCTTTAGATTTTAGTTAAACCATTTCCCATGTAGTCCAAATAGTATTGTAGTTTAATATTAACTGGCTGGATACTAGGTCTGCTTCAAACCATGGTTTATGAAGTTGGCTATAAAACAGCTCCACAACTAACCATGGTTAAGGTTAAATCACATTTCCCTGTTTGGATGGTTAAACAAACTGCTTAACTAGAAGCAGAGGCACAAAGCTTCCAGATGCTTCTCTGGAGTGGAGGTGGGGGGAGGGTCCTTTTAGAACAGGCATAGGCAAACTCGGCCCTCCAGATGTTTTGGGACCACAACTCCCATCATCCCTAGCTAACAGGACCAGTGGTCAGGGATGATGGGAGTTGTAGTCCCAAAATAATCTGGAGGGCTGAGTTTGCCTATGCCTGTTCTAGAAGATGGAAAGGTGGAACATATTTTCAATATTCTCACCAGTGGTAATAGAAAATGTAAAAACAAAGAGGCCTTACCTTCTTTGATGATATCAATAACATCATTGGCATTAAAGCTGAGTTCATCTGTGTCCTGAGCATCGTAGGCATACAGCGCCCTGCACTGGGGTACCTGAGGCTTTGGTTTCGGCTGTGGCTTGGGTCTGCCCCCTGCAGGTGGCGGCCGGTTTGTAGTCTGCCTGCGAACGCTGCAGAGAGACACAGGAAAGTCATTAGGTTTGGCAGCAACGATTCATTGCCACACTGGGCACACAGAACAAGAGGCACCCAAGGGGTGAGGAAGAAGATTCTGGACCAGGCATAGGCAAACTCAGCCTTCCAGATGTTTTGGGACTACAATTCCCATCATCCCTAGCTAACAGGTCAGGGATGGAGGGCTGAGTTTGCCTATGCCTGTTCTGGACTAAGAACTTTTGGTCTCATCTAATAGGGCTCTTTGAACTCCACACCTTCTTATAAAAATATACAATCTACTAATTTCTTAAATGTGAACCCATGAATTAATGGTGGAATGAGTGGATTGCCATCAGAAAGCATGCAGTCATTCTGAAAAAACAGCAGGTGGCACTGCTGGCCACTACAAAGTTAACCCCTCCACAGCACAAACAGCATTTCCTGCTGCCCTCCCAACAGATGGTTTCAAAACGGTACTTGTGCCTTCCACATCTGTAAATCAGATAAGAGACACATTGATCATCTGAGCCAGGAAGAATGGCTGCAGGGACCTGCGCCACCTCAAATCACATTCATCTCCAACCTACTGAGTTCTGTACACTGAAATTATTTCCCTGCAAATGATTTTTTTTTTAAATTCAAGAAAAATACACATGTACGAGAGAATGAGTCGTAGCTCCCTGGCATAGCACATGCTTTGCAGGAAAAAGAACCCATGTTCACTTTGGGGGAAAAAGGATGGCAGGGAACATTGCTAGGAAATCTGGGCATGTTAATATTTAGGAGTGAATCATAGCTTGGTGATAGGGAACATGCTATTCATGCAGAAGGTCCCTAGTTGAATCTCCCACATTCCCAGGTGTGGCTGGCAAAGACCCCTCTCTGAAACCATCAAGAATCATTGCCAAGTAATAATTCTCAATGTAGGTGCACCAGTGGTCTGACTCGTTATAAAGGCAGTTTTCCATGTTCCATTCTGCAGCGAAATGAGATGACGTTACCTACTCTAAGCCAGATTTCTCATACATCTTGAAAACTCTATATAATATAAAGAGAGATTTTAGCCCTGTGGATGTGTTACCTGTGTGTAAGGCACAGCCACCTACAGACCCAGGGCGGGGGCCTGCATTTTAGCTTTGCTCTGGCATAGACCTTTTAAAGGAACACATGGTTTTCTAGTCATGGAGACCCTACATGTGAAGAGGCACCTGTGTGCTGGCCTTCCTACATAGGCAACTAGACTCAACAAACAGTTGTTGTTAAAAAAAACCCCTCAAGGATACCCTACATAGGAGTAATGCATGGATCAGGTTTCTGTTGCTGCCCAAACAGGTACAGAGAGCTGGGGAGCAGGCCTGACACATGTGCTTCTCTGGATCGTGACCGGCCTCTATCAAGGGCCCACCTGTCAAAAGATGCCTCTATGAAGCACTCTACAGAACACAGAATTGGCAGGACACCAGATTCTCCACTGCAGTTCACAGAAACTGCCAGGCACAGAAGACCTACTTCATGAACCCAAGAACAACCCTTCAGCCAATCAGCTGCCTGACTTCAGACAAGCTAGCCACTTATTGGATTGGATGGTGTTGGATGGTGCACTTACCCGGCTGCCCCTTGGTCTGGGACCTTGAGGAAGTCCAAGCTGTCTGGCTGCTGGGAAATTCGATCTGATCCACCCAAGACCTGAGGCAATGGGGGCTGCGCCATACTGGTGTACAGGCTTCTCTGGCTGGCTCGCTGGCTCGCGAGGCCTTGAGGGTGGGGTGTGTGTTGTGGGATTTTTATCACCCCGTTCTGATGAAGACCTAGAAATAGTTCAAGACGTGAGCCTGGGGGAGCCCACACCCTCCATTCACAGGGAACCCCCTCAGAATACCTTTCTAAGTCTGGATAACTTCTGTCAAAGAGTCTTGTGGCACCTTAAACACTAACACATTTATTATGGCATATCTACTGATGTCTCTTTGTTAGTCTTTAAGGTGCCACAGGACTCTGTTGCTTTGCTTCAAGAGACTAGCACAAGGGCTACCCATTTGAAAATTCTCCCAGTTAAATTGTGTCCAGTCTTCATAAAGCCACCGAAAGCAGGCCTTGCCCCTTTAGGCCAGCATAGAACCCTCTCACCCAACACCTTGCTTCCTGCGGTGGACAACCAGATGTTTTTGGGAAGCCAACTCCTGCTGCTGCTTCTCCCACTAACTGGTATTAAATGCCACGCTGCCGCCGCCTCTGAACATGGAAGCTTAACCAATATGGCCAATAACTGCTGACAGACCTCTTCCTCCATTACAATGCCTAATCCTCTTCTAAAGCCATGTAAGCCAGTGACCATCACACCACATTTTGCAGCTGCAGCAGGCAGCTCCTTTCGTTAACTATGTACGGTGCAAGCCTTTTGCATCTACTGCCAACTTCAGCAGATGGCCTTGAGTTCTAGCAATGTAAGAGAAAGAGAGAAAAAAATTCTCTGCAAGCACTGTTGTATAATCCTCTATCATGTTCTCCTCCCCCAGCTGTCTTTCAAAGCAACAGCAGCTCAATCCCTAAATGTTTTAGCCCTTCTTCCTATGTAAGAAGAAAGTGGCTCCATAGCAGAGCACAGCCTTGGCATGCAGACACACCCAGGTTTAATCCCTGACGCGGCATCTCCAGGCACGAGGGGGAAAGGACTCTGGCCTGAAACCCTGGGAGCAGAGGCTGCCAGTTAAGCGCTAGATCAAGGATTCGACTCTTGATAAGGCAACTCACTGTATTCCAATCTCTTGGTAATTCTGGTTGCATTTTTAAAATCGCTCTTCCAGCTCTACCTTCCTTTAGCTTTGAAATTTTGCCTCTCTCAGCTTTCATGGCTAGTGTATAACACCCTCACCAAACATTCATAGGCGACGGCAGTTGCTTTGGGAAAAAAACACCAGTGTGGCATATTTTGGGACTTCATTTGTTAAAAATATATATACCCTGCCTTTCCTTTAGAAATAAGAACAGAAATGGCTTGAGGAAGCTGATCATAAAAGAAGACGTCAGTGCTACACCTGGTTATCATTGCTACATCTGAAAAACATACTGAAGAGGTATCAAACAGGGAAGATGAAAAAAGGCTGCAAATTGGTGGAGGTTTTTAAACATGAAAAAAAGCTGAATAAGTGGGAGACATACAAAAATGTGCAAAATTACGTGTGGCATGGGAAAAGTGGCTGGTCTCCCTCTTTCCTAACACTAGAATCCAACAGGGTTATCCAATCAAGCTGAATGCTGGGAGATTCAGGACATACAAAAGAAAGTCCTTATTCATATGGC